CAGAGGGTCGCACGCTCCAGGGGCTGCATCTGAAAACTGCAAAGAAAATGTCCAAAAATTATTAATTTAGGGACACCACAGGCTGCTGTAGATCAGCAGTGGATTCACATAATTGAATTTCAGGCAAACAATTCCAGCCTAAGGGTCAAATTATGAATAAATATAAGACAAAACACACCATCTGCTGAACCATGCCTAATGTAGCTGAATTAGTTTTTCAGTGGATCTCAAGGCCAGTTAAGGAGCTTATCCATATTTCTCATTGCTGGTTACTAAATGGCACATGGAGAGCTCTTCCCTTCCCTCTCCCCCATGGCCCTGCAGCCTCTGAGTCACTCAGGGCTGGCTGGTGGCTGCCCTGCTACTGTGCTGAGGGTTTTGCTGAAGTGAGCAGGCTGCTGGAAAAGCAGCATTTCAATTCCCTCTGCTTCTGGGAGGCTCTGCAGGCATCACGGATCTCTGGGAGGATTTCCTGCTCCATAACTTATGCCCAAGGGTGAAAGAAGCAGAGCTGGATGTGAAATGATTGCTGTAAAGTCTCACTTTGTCTCAACAATTTATGATTTTGCTAGAAAATGAGTGGCTTACTCTAGAGCTCTCTGGATTTAGCTGAGTTTTAGAAAGCTGAGAAAGCAGAAATTTTCTTTTACGTTGTCCAGTCTGCAGATTTCCAATGTGTTCTTCTCTTGGGGAGGCAGGTTGTTTTTTCTTACAGAATCATTTTTACATTTATACAGAAAATAGAACAGTCACGTTTTTATAACACCAGAGAAATAATTTTTAGAGTCTCACCCAGGAGGAGTTTGTACTTGCCAGTGTGTCTCAGAAAGGTGTTGCTGTTTTAGCCCTCGTTGATCAGAGTGGAATTATTCAATTGGTATCAACAAAAATGATGAAAAAATGCATGGCAGATGACAAAATATTTCTGCTTAGATATTGCTGTGTTGCTGTATGGTGTGTAATTTATTTTTTAAAAAACGTGATCACAAAATTAGAAACATCTCAGCAAATGTATATTCGATTTTGTAGACAGTGAATTTTATTCTTCTACATATATGACAAGTGATTTCGTCAGAAGCAGTTTTTTGTCAGAACAGTTTGTTTCAGACCAGCATCTGGCTTTTTAAAATAGGTATTTTTACTCAGACATCTTAGTTTATCTTTATTTATTTATGAAATAAAAACATACACCTTCAATTGAAATGCAATCCCATATGTAAACAGCATTTCACTTTTTACCTTTTTTTAAACTTGAGATGAGCCTAACCTAAGATCTGAAAAATGGATACTGTTCTGAAATACTGAAAAGCTGGATTTGGGAGGCTGTTGTTTTTATAATTTGCTTTTGTTTGGTTTTGGTTTTTTTTACGTATCACAGCTTAGCCTGATCAATCAATGGAATAACATTGGCCTGAGGTTTGAGGTCTGGATGAAAATCCTGTCTGCACAAGCTGTTCCCTGGGCTCCAGTGTAGCAGTTACTTTCAGGATTGCTCCAGTGACAATATTTTAATACAACTTTCCTGGACATCTCTGGGTTTAGTTGGAATAAAGTACTAGAGTTGTAACCAGAGTTAACAATTCTGTACTACAATATTTCAGTTAAATTGCAGGTTATTAAATAAAGTAAGCCAATTTCTGATCTTACTTAATGTACATTTCCAGTAATTCAGGATCTGATGTCAACAAAAAAAATGTTTTAGATAGTGCAAAGAAGTAAAGTAATCAGATTATCTTTCAGGAAATGTATAGTGTTTATTTCAAAGTATTTTAACGTGGTACAGAGATAGAAGGATCTGCAGTTTGCAGGGTGGTGGTTTGGGTGAGATGGACAAAAATTCTGTTTTTAGTGCAGCTGGGGTGGGCTGGGGGAATTACCCCCTCCTGGCTGGGTGTGCAGTTCTGCTGCAGTTCTGAGCTGTCACCTTCTCCTCAGGAGCTGTGTCCCCTCTCCTCTGAAATCACCATCTCCTCACTGCTCTGAGTCTCTCCAGGCTCACGTTTGTTCTGGTGCTGATCTCCCAGTGAGAACACACGGGACAAGCACAGCTTGTAACCACATTTTTAAAAAATTAATTACACACCATCATCAACTCAGCAGTACCTAAGCAGAAATATTTTGTCATCTACCACGCATTTTTTTCATCATTTTTGTTGGTACCGGTTGAACAATTCCACTGTGATGAACAAGGGCTGGAACAGCTTATTATGGGAAACCCCAAGGGCAGGCTTTGTGCCCTGCAAGTCTTTTCCCTCCTTTTCCACCAGCTTTTAACCCCATTCATGGGGCAGATGTCATCTTTCACCACTGCAGTTGGTTTTCTGGGCTTTCCCAGTTGGGCAGGTCACGTTCCAGAGCAGAGCTGGGCCACTCCTGATGGCTGCTGGTGGCACCAGGGAGGGGAAGGAGCTGGAGCAGCATTCACACAGGTCTCTGCAATCTCTGACAGGTGGAATTCACCTAAGCTGGGTGATGAATCTGATTCTGGACAATTGTGCATAATGCATTCATATCTCCTGAGCTTGAAAGAGGGACACCTCAAACATGGGTGGAACTTGAAGGCCAGGAGGCCCCCTGTGTCTCCATGGGCTGTGAACTCCTCCAGTCCCTGTTTTCCTGTAATGATGGATGTGGAAGGGAGTATTTAGCAGTAGGTATGGGCAGGCTGAGCCTGACTTTCCCCATTCTGGGTCCCTTTGAGGACTCTGGAATTAATGCTGCTGCTTTCTCTGAACTGGCCATGGAGAAAAAAAGCCAATGTCATTTGCCAAAAAACACCTCAGCCAACCCAGAGGTTTCTTTATCCTGGATTATGGTGACATAAACCTCCAGAGAAATTCCAACCAGGGGATGAATGGACAGAGTCAAGAGCAGTGGGAAGGAAAACCCTTGCATTTTGCTGCTGTTGATGAGCTTCTGATCAGACAAAGCAGACACACAGGGAATCACCAGACAGACTGGTGGAGGCCAGGAGCTGACCCATTAAATGAAATTTCTCCTGGTTTTAAACTGGGTGATCTCAGGAAGCCGTGTCCCATGTCCCTGTACTTCTCCAGTGGGTCACCATGTGTTTGTTTTCACATAATGAACTCTACTGAGCACTCAGCAAATAATATGATTTGTGAATAAAGGTAAAGGCAGATAAGATGCAGCAATGTTGTAGTATTGTCCAAATGCATTGGTGTGGGTTTTTACAATCCATACCACCCTTGGCTTCAGAATAATAGTTTGGCTGGGTTCTTCCTGGGGACATCAGCCCAGCTTCTAAGATCTGAGCCTTACCATCATTTTGGGTGTGAAAGTTTATACTCCAGATTACTTTACACATGTATGAGTTACATATCAAGAAAAAATAAAATGTTGTCTTTAAAACGCTCAGGGAATAAAAAAAAATGCTATCTCAGTGAAAAAGATTTTCCTTAACATTTGTCCTCTAAGTACTATCTGGCTATGAAGGCAAAACATGATTTTTCTTAGTTCTCTGTTCTAAACAATTTTTTTCTTTTTTTTTTTTCCCCTGAGAAGTGTCATTTATTGAGTTTACTGAAAAATCAGGCCATTCTCAATTATTTCTTTTCTAAGCCACACTTTAGCAGCAATGTCCTACAGTGTGTTCTGCCTGCAGTTTGCATGAATTTGTTGCTCATCCTAAATGAAACTAAGATAGGACAAATATACTTGGAGAGCTAGGTCTCCCCCCAGTTCATTCTGTTGCCTTTCTACAATAGAATTTGGGCCTTGTTTTCTACTCAGGAGAGCTGTCCTCAGCTTCAGCACAAATTGGCTTACAGTGATGAATTCACTGGTAGGAGAACATGTGACATATCCAAGTGTGTAGGGATGATCAAAGTGCAGGATGGAGCAGGATGTTCCTCTCGACATTTCAGTCCAAAGGAGCAGAGCCAGTGGCTTCCTCACTTACAAAGATGCCAATTTTGGATACCAAAAATACCAGTCCCTGGTGTGTGTGTGAGGCTGAGAGAGTTTGGTTTGTGAACCCTTGTCCAGTTCAAAGCTGGTCATGCAAACCATCCCTGATCCCCTTTGTTACAAATGAATGCTGAACTCAGGGGTTCATACAATCCTAAAAACCATAACTCTTAAAAAAAAGGCTGCTCTGTAGCTCTGTGGAACTTCAGTTGTACCCAGATAAATGCTGGAACAAATCTGAAGGTGTGGACACCTGGGTTCAGCAAACCCCAGAGGGGGTGAATTCAGCTCCTCAGCTGTGGTACAGACACAGAGAGAAGCAGAGACCAAATGTGCACAGCCCTGGAGTTTTCCCCATGAGGGAGCCCCAGCCCAAGCAGGATTTGAGAAAACTTTGTGGGGTGTTCCCAGAAAAGACTGGAGCTGCTCAGTCACCTGTCAGTGGGTGGGAATCTGCTGTTCCTCACAAAGAGCAGGGCTTGGTCAGGGGGTTTTGGTGAGTGTGGCTGGGGGGTTCTGACACAGGTGGGGCTCCCTGGGGAGCTGGGGGAGAGCAGCAGCACCTGCTTCACAGTGTCCCCAAGAGCTTGTCCCCAGGCTCTGGCAAGAGGACTCCAATTCACACTCGGATTATTAATCTTTTTCAAATCACACCCCCGCTTTCATTGGAATTTGCTTCAGTCTCATGAAACATAATTTCTGTCTTAAATTCCCCAGGTTTCTGCAATAAGGAAATAGTGAATTTTTGGAAGCTATCAGCTTTGACTGCTGAATGGAAGAACTTAAGAATGTTAGTTACAAAGATTCAAATATTAAATTATGAATTAAGCAAACCTCTCTGTGATTTATGAAATTGCTGTTGGCTCATGACTTGAATAGTTTGAAATGGTAAATGAAACTGCAGGAAACTGATGTTTATTCTGGTTGGTGTATTTAAAACCACAAATATTTATAAAAAGTTTTATTCTCATTTACAAAACATTTTCTATTTGTAAGTCCCCTGTAATGTTATTTTTGATTCTGATGGGTATGATTCCAGTCACTGATGTATTATTTTTTCTGTTTTTCAGTTATACCAGCAGAGTTGTTTCCAATGGACTGAAGGCACAAATTAATAATCCAGAACTGAAAGTCAAAGGATTGGACCCACTCATCAGCAATTTGATTGATAAACTTCAGCACTTTAATCAAGTAAGTAATTTTCCAAGACAAAACCATTTTATGATGGAGCTGAAGGTAAAATCTCTAGCTGGTGCTGCTCATCGTATTCCATCTTCCAGGATTACAGGCCTGAAGTAGGTGTGGTGTGGGTTTGTGTCCCAGCTGGCTCCAGCGAGGCAGAATTCCCTGGAGCTGCTCCCAGGCTCTTGAGGAGCTGCCCTGGAGCCCAGAGCCCCGGGAGCAGGGGGGAGCTCCTGCTCCCCACAGTTCACAGCAGCCTGGGATGCTCCTGGGTTGGAGGGCTGTCCTTGCTTTGTGCAGCTGCCTGCTCCTCTGCTGGAGATAGCAACAGATCAAACCCAAAATGAGCCTGTGAGGGTGTGACAGCCAAATTGAAAATGCTCAAGTCAGGACAGAGGGTGCTGGAAGATGAATTAACCTTACCCCTTGAAAAACATTTCCTTCACAGGCCTTTTTCTCACGCCCCTGAGCTCAAAAGGACACATAACCTTGAGATTTGTCAGAGATGTGATCAAAAACCTGTGCCTGCCTCTGGCATCTGCCTGGGTCCCACAGAGGCACTTGGC